CAGCTCTGAGAGAGGTCTGCATCGCAGCTGGGCAAACAGAAAGCTGCAAAATATATTCCTGCTCTGCTACAAGGAGCAGAGCATGAATACATTCCCCACACGGCATGGCGGGGGCCACGCTGGCCACGGCCCCTCGGCAGCCACCAGGCTGCTTCCAGCAGGACCCCCGGGCTGTCCCCGCCGCAGTCTCTCGCTGTCCTTTCTACTTGAACGCGCTCGCACCGCCAGTGCTCCAGGCCTGCAGCAGCACAGCCATTACCCTGGCTCTGCCAAGTGAAGGGAACGTCATCCCTGCCTCCCCTGCCTGCAGCAGCTGGCCCCCCCGGCCCCAGTGGGGCAGGCTGAGCAGCCAGCACCCCGGGAAGGCGGCAGCCTGCCGAGGACAGCAAATGGATGCAAAATAAAGCCGGGTGTGTGCCGCCAGGCATGCTGCTCCTGTTCAAGGACCCACATTTTGCCAGCAGTCCAAAAGAAAAGGGTTTTTCTCCCCTCTCCTAATAAAAGATGATGCCACTCTGAAGCCCCACACCAAGTCCTTGGCTGTCCAGAAGAGGCTGCAGTCTTGACACAGCTCAGCAGCTTTGGCATCACCCCTGCTGCTTCACTGCCATCAGCCCTCTGCAGAGCACGGCGTGGTCCCCAATAAGGACAGGGGCTGTGGACACGTGTGCCCTCCCAGCAAGAGTGGGCAGGGGCCTGAAAACGCAAAGGGTGAGCAGCACCAGAGAGAAACCCTGGAGATGCAAAGCCCAGGATGAGTTATAAGGTGAGCCAAACATCCCTGTCCACTATCCCTTGTTTCTACCCAACACTTCCATGATGGAGTACACAAGCAATTTGAGAGAGGAATTTCTGCTAGAGCCCAGGCACCTATCCCATCCATTCCTGCACCATACTACATCATGGCTGAGATAAGGCACCAGCGATGGCCCTTGTAGAGCTCAGACCAGCACTGGACAACAAGACGATGCCCTCTCATCCCATCACCACCACACCACAGGAAGCAGCCATGTGTTCAGCCAAGGTCGGCTCTGGCTGGAATCTCTTCTGCAAGAACATTTGCTTAAACATGTAACAAGGTGACTCCCTGCTTCCCTCAGTTCTGGAGGAATCTCTCCTCCTAAGGCCCCCAGCTTACCATCCCCAGTGTGGCTGCCACATCTCACACATGCAGGCTGCCTCTAAGACCCCAGTGGTCAATTCACTACCAGACAGAGGATGCCATTCCCTCACCCTCGGGTATTTGTAATTCTCTTGATCAGGTTTCTGAAGACAGGCAATAGCCTTCCAAAGAAACCAGATGCACTTGATTCCTCCTCCCCATCCTCCTGGGCAGAAGGCAGCCCCAGCAGCTGCCACATCCCCGAGGCTCAGCATCTCGGAGGAGCAGTGATCAAAGCCATCCCTCTCCCATTGCGGTAGGCTCCGGATGTCAGCTCCATGACACCCCGCCTACCCATCCTGCCAGAGAGACTCTGTGCATTCATCAGGCATCTCCAGAGAGGCACACGGCAATCTGGAAGGCCCAGAGATGCCAGACCGCTAATGTGCTAGGGAAAAGACGTCAGCGAATATTACAAACACCCCAGAGGAACAGAGGCAGGACAAGGGAGGAAAGACCTGGAAGGAATTAGACAAAAAAAAGAGGGCGAGAGCCTGCACTTGGGAAATTCATGGAGGAACGGCACTGTCTTTTTTCTTGTTTCAAAAAGGGTGATACTGCTGAAGCAGATTCAACTGCACTAAGAACATGTGAAGAGGTCTCACATTCCTCCTCTCCTGTCCAATACTGCAGTATTAAATGCTGAGGGAAAACAAGATTGCAAGGCAGAAGTCCTGCTTGTGCACTGCTCCTCTGAGATGGACAGAGCAGCCTGGACTAAACATCTGCAATCCATCTTCATCATCACCCCAGCAGCAGGCTGTCAGTCACACCAGGGACAGCTCCTGGGCACACAAAAGCACACGCAGGTCACAAACCAGACTGCACCATTTAGGCAGTGAAAGGTTGAGCATTCTCACAGCCTGAAGCCCTTGGCCTTCCCAGCCTTCCCTATCCTCCAACCCCTCCAAACACAGCAACAGAGCCCCACTCAGCAGCAGATGCAGGGAAGCAGAGCCAGTCCAGAGCTGTCGGGCTCCCAGCACAGCGTGGCCATGCCAGCCGGCTCTAGCTGTGCTGAAGCCAGAGCAGCATCTAGGTCAGGCTCAGAAGAAAACAAAAAGCAGACAAGCAGCCCTCAGCTAGGACTGGGGGATGCTGACACAGTAACCCTACCAAAACAGCTCAGCCCCAGTGCAGCCCCTCTCCTTTCCTGTGCCATGAGAGAGCTCCCTATGGAAAAACAGAGCAAAAAACCACAGGGAGCAACTTTCAGATGGCTCCTGAAGTGCAGCACCTGAACCTGGCACCTGTCCACAGGCTTTTAGACCTGTCACCTGGTTCTGCCTCCAGCATCTGCACCCTCTTGCCTCCCTGAAACCACCGTTCACAGCTGGAGGTGTCTCCCTCTGGCACTGGTTATGCATAAACACAGCAATGAACCTTTTCAGCTACACAGGCACCCCCAGAGCCCTGCAAAACCCCACTACATAATAAATAACAGTAGGGGTACAAAAGGATTTTCCAGGAACAGAATCTTCTCCATGAAATCCATCAGAAGAGAGTGACAGGCACAGTCTCACCAGACTGCCCTAGCCACAACTGTCACACATGATGACCTTCACTGCAGGGATCTGGAAAGGCTTCAGTCTTCTGATTTATGAGATAACCAGCTCCTCACATTGTTCCTAACCCCAGCACTTATCACTGACTGACTCAGAGTGGAGTCAAACCCAAATCAGTATTCAGTATTATTAATAGAGCCATGCACAAAACCTGGCAGGTGGAAGAACCCAGGCCAGCAGGAGCATCACTCATCTGCCAGCATCACCACTGACAAAGCAGCTCTACCCACCTGCCTCCCACCAACCCTGCTCCCAGCAAAGTCCATCTTTCCTTCACGTTGTACCCCACAGACCTTCCTGGAAAAGACTGACACAGGAAGGCCCTAAGCTGCTGGACCTCTGTGGTTTTTTTCTGATTCTACCCCATGCTTCTTCTCCTATTCAGGGACTGTGCTGCTGCCCCCCAATAGCAGCTCAGAGCCCCACTGCAGTCCACAGCTGCACCTTCAGAGGACACTACTGAGATGGCAAAGCCTGCAGAGATCAGGAGAGGCAGAGGCAGGCTGGGGGAGGGGAGATGAAGCATCCTAGAGGGCATCTCTGCCTCCTCCCAGGCGTTGGGAGACTAAATCCCGAGCAGCTTGGCAAGGATGAGCTGCCTCTCGGCACAGCCGCACCTCACCCAGCCTGTGCCGGGTGCCCCCCACCCTGGCACTGCCCACCCTTCCCGGGCAAGTGTGCGCCTCATTGTTGGTGCAAACAAAGGAGCGGTTTGTGTCTGATGAAAAGAAAGGGAGTCAGAGGCAAAATCATCCAACAGCCCTGGATGTATGCAGATTAAGCTGCAGAAGGTTGCATGAACATAGCATTTTCCAGACATCAGTTAATCCCCGGGCTGCGCTGTGTCTCCATCTCCCTGGAAGAGGTGAGCTGTGCCTCACCTGCAGCCACAAAGGCAACCAGTGCCCAGTGACAAACCTGACATCCCTGACCTGACATCTCCTGTGAGGCCAGGCAACCCCCTGGGAAGAGGGATGGGCATGAAAAGCTCTCAGAAATTGTTTAGTTGTGGGCTTGGCAGGGCTGCACTAACATTGGACATGATGATCTGAGAGGTCTTTTCCAGCCTAAATGATTCCATGATTCTATGTGCCCACCAGCACGCCCATGAGTACTGCTTTGGCAAGGATCTCAGTCTATTCTTATAGAGGAAAAATGAGGACACTGGGATTCCCACCAACTGTCTGAGGACCAAGCTATGGATGTCTGCTGGATGTCTGGCTACAGAGCAAGTGGAAGAGTGATGCACTTGCTCTTTGCCCTTCAGGGATGCATCCTCTGCTGCCCTGTCCCCATCACCTCCAAGGTGACTAAGGAGCGGTTTTTGCCCAGCTGCCCTCCCGGGTGTGCTCACTGAGGTGCTCTGTTTAGTCTCTGTGATGAACCCCAGGTCACACATCAGCTGCTCAGAGCTCATCCCAACAGCAGTGTGATGCCAGCAGGCCTTGGTTTGCCGTGGCCATTCCCTGGATCCCAGATTTCAGCAATCAGCCTCACTCCTGCTGCCCTGTAGGAAGACCTTGAGCTTCAGCAGGAGCAAAGGAGCTGGATTCCTGGTTTAGCAAGGTATCAGTGGGCCATCCGCACGCGGGAGGCTTTTCCCAACCGTAATACCCAATAATTCCCAGCACCTGGCAAAAGTTCCTTCCTTCCCTGCCTAATGGAGACACTGATAATGGGCTTCACATTGATGCAGCTGGTTCAGTAGCCAGGACCAGACCCGTGGGCTCTCGCTGCCCAGCGCTGCAGCTGGCGACCTAGAGGACGCCAGTCAGAAACACAACCCCTCCCTTCTGCTCCCATTCCTGCCACATCATTTTCGCTCCCGGGCCGCCCCGGCGGCTCCCCCTGCAGCCCCATGTCCCGGACCCCAGCAGCGGCAGGGCGGGCGGGCACAGGGGACGCCGCCCGCCGCCCTGGCCGGGCCCGGCACCGCCGAGCAGGTGCCCCCCCGCTCCCCGAGCCGCGTCCCCCGCAGCCCCGCGGCACCAGCGGCATCCCGCCGCCGAGCCCCCCCGCCCCGCCACGGCCACCGCTGGGCCGGCGGCGTTCGCTCACCTTCTCCACGTTCTCCACGGTGAAGTCGAGGCCCTGCGGCGGCGGCGCCTCCGCCCTCCGCTCCATGGCTGCGGCGGCGCTCAGGAGGCGGCGGCGGGCGGGCGACAGCGGCGGCGCACGGGCAGCCGCATCGCGGCGGGACCCGCCTCCCGCCCCGACGGGG